GCCTACAAACCATTCGAAGTGAGCACATCGTTTTAACTTTCTCGAACTGTGAACTATAGTCATCACTGTCATTAAAAAAGCAACAAAACGCAAATATTCGAGTCAAAATCTCGGAAGAAAGATCAGAAAGCGAACGACTTTGTGTGCCGACGGACAACATCGGCGATCGAGTGAGCAGTTGAAGCCAATTTCCCACGTAATTTTGCGGCTAAACTTGCCTGATTGACTCTTTTGGATACTCTTAGCATGATTCTGGCATCGTTCTGCGCATAGCAATATGCGTTGGTACAGAACGTGTTGAATTCTGGGTAAAACCTCGTACCGTGCAGCGCACCGGTACGCAAAATTGTGTGCGGTACAGGTTTTAAATTGACTCACACGATAACAAGAAGAAAACCCCTTTTTTTTACTTTAGTGTAATTTATAATATCATGATGCCACTGGTTCAAACACAATCCAATTTGTAGTATAAAACATAATGCACTTGAAATCCCTATCAATCAATGAACCTCATTGGTAATGCAATATATTGCAGAAGTGCAATGAAAAGGATAAATTACTACTTACACTTTGGACATCAAAACTGGTGAATCTAGATACTTTACAGGGTTTAAATATATTACAGAAATCTTCTTCACTGATGCCTAGCTTGCCATGCCTCCCATCACCAAAAGTATACATAGCACCTTTTTCTGTTACAAGCAAACAAGTGAATGTTACATATGTATAATGTATGTGAAGGTAATATATATACACCATTCAATGACTGGTCTGTTCTAATAGAGTTGAAACATTGTCAACATTAGTTTATATTAATATTTAAGGGTTACTATATTAGGTATTAATTACTATATACATGTACCGTACTCGACCGCGTTAGCGCCCATGCCCGGGCAAGCGACCACCCCCCAGTTTTGCGCAATTTTTATATTTGGGGTCACATTCGGCAAAGCGCCCACCCCTTCAAAATGCAACTAATTTAAAACTTGGTCTTGCGTAACGAATCTTGGTAATCATTTTTATATGATACAGCATGGATATCGATCGCTGTGAACATGTTGTGAATGTGTAGAACACGGTAACCGTGCGTAAACTACGCTTCGACAATGACCTGTTAATACAAGTAAAATGCGATAAATATTTCATGCCATATTCAGTTTACCTCTCAAAAATGGCTAGTTACTAGTTTTTTGGAAAAACCATGTCGTTTATTCGCTGAAATCAATTCCAACAGATTGCACTTCGACATCGATTATTCACTTCCGCATTGCGTTACCGGAAAGTCTTCGGGAATTTCCGAAGAATTGCGTCAGTACAAGACAGCATTCTGATTAGTTAATAACCAACTTGACCCATTAAGTCAAAGGACGCTGCTGCAGGTCAAATCTGCAATTGCATCATGGCGGAAAGTGATTTTCATAGAGA